AGATTTCAAAGGGCAGCTCAAGAAGACTAAGTAAAGTATTATCATGAAATATGCAAAGACCTGGAGTTAGAAAACAAAAAGGAAGAACATCCTCGGCATTTCTCAAGCTGAAAGAATTGAAGAAAAAATTCAAGCCTCGAGATGCAATTTTGAAGGATTCTATGGGAAGGATTCAATCTAGGAAGCATTAAAAGAAGATGAAAGGAATACACAGAGTCACTGTACCAGAAAGAATTGGTCGACATTCAGCCATTTCAGGAGGTAGTATATGATCAAGAACCAATGGGACTGAAGGAAGAAGTCCAAGCTGCACTGAAGGCATTGGTGAGAAACAAGGCTCCAAGAATTGATGGAACACCAGTTGAGATGTTTCCGCAAATGGATGCAGCAGTGGAGGTGATCATTTGTCTATGCTAAGAAATTTATTTGGAAGATGGCTACTTGGCCAATTGACTGGAAGAGATCCATATTTGTGACCATTCCAAAGAAAGGTGACCCAACAGGAAATTATCAAATACATTAATATCACACGCAAGTAAAATTTTGCCGAAGATCATTCAAAAGCGGCTGCAGCAGTATGTCAACAGAGAACTTCCAGAAAATTGAAGCTGGATTCAGAAGAGGATGTGGAATGAGGGATATCATTGCTGATGTCAGACAGATCTTGGCTGAAAGCAGAGAATACCAGAAAGATGTTTACCTGTGTTTTATTGACTATACAAAGGCATTTGACTGTGTGGAGCATAACAAATTATGGATAACATTGTGAAGAATGGGAATTCCAGAACACTTAATTGTGCCATGCAGAAAGCTGTACATAAACCAGGAGGCAGTTGTTTGAACAGATAAAAGGAATGTTGTGTGGTTTAAAATCAGGAAAAGTGTGTGTCAGGGTTGTATCCTTTCACCATACTTAATCTGTATGTTGAGTAAATAATCTGAGAAACTGGACTATATGAAAAGAACATGGCATCAGGATTGGTGGAAGACTTATTAACAACCTGTGATATGTAGATGACACAACCTTGCTCACTGAAAGTGAAGGACTTGAAGCACTTACTGATGAAGATCAAAGACTACAGCCTTCAGTATGGATTACACCTCAACATAAAGAAAAAAAAATCCTCACAACTGGACCAGTAAGCAACATCGGACTAAGGTTTGCCTGACCCAAGCTATAGTATCTTCAGTCACCTCATGTGCATGTGAAAGCTGGACAATGAATAAAGAAGACAAAAGAAGAATTGACAGCTTTGAATTATGGTGTTGGTGAAAAATATTGAATATACCATGGACTGCCAAAAGAGTGAGCAAATCTGTCTTGGAAGAAGTACAGCCAGAGTGCTCCTTGGAAGCGACGATGGCGAGACTTCATCTCCTCTACTTCGAACATGTTCTCAGGAGAAACCAGACCCCAGAGAAGGACATCATGATTGGTAAAGTAGAGGGTCAGCAAAAAAGAGGAAGACCTTGGGCAAGATGGATTGATACAGTGGCTGTAACGGTGGGCTCATACATAGCAACAGTTGTGAGGGTGGCACAGGACCAGGTTGCTATGAGTTGGAATCGACTCAACAGCAGCTAACAACATGGGGTTTTGGAAGGAAGACCACAGACATAAAGTGGCAATCTCATTGTATCATATCAAGGGTACATAATATCAACAGGACTTATCACTGTTGATGTTAACCTTAATCACCTGGCTGAGGTAGGATTTGTCAGGTTTCTTCATTATAAGGTTACTGTTTTTCCCCTCTCTTCCAACTGTACTCTTCGGGAAGAAGTCAGTATGTACAGCCCACACTTAAGAAGTGGGGAGTTATGCTCCACCTCCTTGAGACAGAGTATCTACATAAATTACTTGGAATTCTTCTGTATTGGAGATTTGTCTCTTCACCCCATTTAATTATTTATTCAATTGTTTATTTATATCAATATGGACTCTTGGATATTTATTTTATACTTTGGGTTATTATCCAATACTGTTTTATTTTGTTTGCTCAGTTTTTTCCAGCTTTGGCCATTGGGAGCTCTTTCAGTTGGCTCCTGGATCCCTTTGACATACCCCCATCATTGTGGGGTTGTCTGCTTATTTGTTTTTGAGCACTTCCTTACTTTCTGGCACTACAAGATACTCCAGGATATTTCCTGTCCCAGTCCTAAATCAACCATTTCTCCAAGGAGCCCTGGTTCCTTTTATTGGAGAATGGTATTAGAAATGAAGATTTGGTGCCAGGTGACCTGATTCTTTCACCTTTTTTAAATGTCCCCATTAGAAAACTTAAAATTACATGCGTGACTCACATTAAATTGCTATTGGATAGCCCTGCTTTAGAGTCTTCTCTGTCCTAAAAACACCTTCCTTTAATTGCATCTCTCTGTCAACCTCATGACCCATTTCTCTCCTTCCTTTAACTGTCAAACTTTTTAAAGGAGAATCAGCAACCATTGCTTTTACTTCTTCATTACATGCTATTATTGTCTTACTTCCCTGCAGCCTGTCTTCCACCCCACTTCACTGAAATGGCTTCCACCAAGAATTTCCTCATGTTCCTCTCAAGCCCTTCCTGCTCTACCTGTGGTTGTGTGGTGCTGTGGTACACACCCTCCTTGTTATAAAGCTCTCCCACTTTGGCTCCCACAACCCCACTCCTGGCTGGCATACCCTCCCATTCTTCTGACCAATTGTACATCCTGGCTGCCTCGTCCAACCTGCTTCCTAGGCTCTGGTGTTCCAAACTCTGATCTCCTTTCTGTTGGTCTTACATTTTCTTCCTGGGCAGTCTCACCCACTCCCACACTATAGTTATTACTACAGAATAAAGTTCATATGCACTAAAGTAGCGTTGACAGCATCCCTGGTCCAGCCACCCCCCACCCCAACTGCAGCATCTCTTGTGGACCTAGATGCTAGAAGGCTCTTCTTCTCTGCCTAGATGCCATTTCCTTCAGCTTAAATGTCAGCTCCTCCATGAAGGAGGAACTGCTCTTTCCTCTGCCCTCTCCTTATTGGATGTAAATCAGTTAAGAGCTTTTGGTTGTAAGCCAAAAACACTACCTCTGCCTAGTCAAACCCAAGGGGGGATGTGTTAAACAGGTGCAGAGGTATGTCACTGTATCTGCCAGGGTCTAGCTGGGAACACAAAGGTGCACTCAAACAGAGTAATTGGGGAGATATTAAAGAAGGGACTATTTATAAAAGAATAGTCAAAGTTAAGGGAACCCACAAGAGATGGTACAGTACTTGGGGCTAGCAACAGCATTGTTACAATCCCTAGGCCTGAAGGAACAAGGGAAAGGAGTTACAGAAAGAGAGTCTTTGGCAGAGGGCAGCTGCCAACCCATAGCCCAGCAAGAGGAAACCAGAAAAATAAGTACTTCAAACTCTTTCTCCTGCCCTGGGATCTCCTGCTAGTGCCTCCCACTGGCTGAACCCAATGGAGGCCAGAGGGTTTGCATTCCATTGAGGCCAGCTTCTCAGGACAGAGAGCAGACTGGGAAAGGTGGAGAGTGTATACAGAGGGGCAACACTCCTCAGCTCTGTCATGAAATTGTTGGAAGAACTGAATAACCAGAAATGGGGTCCAGAAGGCATGAAGCACACAGCAGGAAGACCAGGGCCAAGGCCTAACTGATTCAGCTGGTAAAGAGACAACGAGCCACTCTTCCATTTGGACAGTTCCTTTGGCAAAAGGAAGAGTAGCCAGAGGTTCCAGCTCCCTGTGGTCCTTGTCCTACACACCAAAAGGGATAACACCAAAACCAAAGGGGCAGATGAGCTGTGGGAAATCCCATTGCTGAGGAACTAATTCTAGACTGCAGCTAAGCAGCTTCACAGTCTGCAGTGCTGTTTCAAGGGAGTGGGGCAGAAACCCTCATACCTCACCAGAACCCCAGAATTGAGGAAAAAGTCTCTCGTGACACCCTCCCAGGGGGATAAGGTGAGTGGGTGAGATGGCCTTGAAGTAGCACCTCACAAGCCCTCGAGGGTCACAAGATGTTCTGCGGAAACTCAGGCTTCATTGCCATGTGCCTATCAGGGTAGACACATGGGTGCCGTGGTGAGGCTGTCCCCCTGCAGATGGCACTCAGGCAGCTCCACAGACCTCAGTGGCAGAAGGCTGTGGCTCTTATCTCTAAAGCACCATGCCTCAGGTGACTTGTTTCCAACCAGTCCGTCTCCTTAAATTTCCAGATTCTTTGGAGAGAATTCAGTTGTCCCTGTGTTGGTCTTAGGTAGGCCCCTGCTCTGGCAGCTGTGGGCAGGGGCAGGATCCCCATAAGCAGACACAGCCTCTGGGCCTACTCCTGGGTGCCCAGCAGTTGTCAGAAACGGGCAGCATGCCCTGTGTGGCCCCTAGTCACTTTGCTTTGAAATAATGCCATTTCCGGGTCTGTCTTCCTCACCTAGCTGAGAGGGAAGTCAAGAGAGGTCTTTGGGGACAGAGCATTCTACTCATCTCCCCAGGGCCAGGACACAGCCTGGGCTCATCAGATACTTGTGTGGGATGAATGACTAAGTGGTCAATGTGACGGTAACTGCAGACCAGGTGGGCAGGGGGTGGAATCAAGATCTCACCAGAGGTTGGAGCGGCTTTTAACGGTCCACACGTAAAGCAGTATGTACATGCAGCAATTAAGATTTGAAAATCATTTAAAAAGAAAGAAAGAATGTCAATTTCAACATCTTAATAGTCGTATCCCTAAGAGTTGTTTAAAGTTTATCATGTTAAGGGAAAGTTATGGGTAAGAACTTTGTAGCCTTTAATTCGAAGAGTAAGCACAGATAGCATTGTTAGGAAGGACCAAGGGAAGCTCAGCTTGACCACAGGCTGTGGACAGCAAGGCCTGGCTCTGCTAATGTTGGTCAAAGGTTACTAAATATGCCCTTGCCTGATGGGTTGGGGATTGTGGTCATAAAATGTTTCTAGGGGCAAACAGGCATGAAGACATTCCCCAGCAGTGAAGAAATCCCCTACTGCTGGTGGTGGTGATGGAACCACACAAGTCCCTGCTGCCTGGCTGTGGTGGATCTGTGGGCAAGCAGGACATTGGGAAGCCCTATAGCTTGGTGGGCTGTGGGAGGGGGAGGTGGCCAGGCCCGCTGGGTGGAGGCAACACCATGGGCAGGGAATTGCTGCCCCGTTCATGCCAGCACGTGTCTAGGATGGGGTAGAGCTTGCCCTGGAAGTCAGCCTGGAATGTGTAGAGCAGTCGCAGGTCATCAGGGCGGTCGGCATCAAAGAAGGTGAGCTCACCCTGCTCATAGTGCAGGTAGACACCAATGCGGTGGGGGTGGCCCATCACGGGCAGGGGTACCCGTGGGCAGCCAAAGGCCTCATACACCCGGCTCTCCTTCAGGCCAATCAGCCACACGCCATGCTCTGGGGACTTGCTCAGCTTGCCCTTGCGACTGGCTGTGCCCTTGATGACCCCCAGGCGCCAGTCACTCTTGCTGCCCACAACCACCTCCCAGTAGTGGCGGCCGCAGGAGAAGCCCTGGCAGGCCAGGACACATGTGCTGTAGTCGAAGCGCTCGGGCTGGCTGGTGCGCTGCTGAGCCAGGAGCCCACACTGCACCACCGTGTTGCCCTTGGAGAGCTCGAGGAGGGGGTGGGCTGTGGCAGGGTCCAGTTTGAGAGGCTCCGGGGCTATGGAAGAGAGCAGAGAAGCATGTTGTTGAAGCTACACAGAAGGCAGCCTCTGCTCCAAAGAGGCCTCAAGCCTCTCAAGAAGAGAAACTGTGCCTGACTAATCTTTGATCCCCAGGTTTCAGGAGGGACCAGCACAGAGCGGGCACCCAAAGGATGTTGGCTGAATGAATGATGCCCAAAGCGTGGGAAAAACAGACAGCTGTGAGTCGAGGGATTCTGGTGAAGACTGAGGTGGAGGTGCTGATGGAAGGGCCCAGAAGGCAGCCTGCCACATATGCCCCACAGCTAAATTCTCGAGGTTTTCTGGAGAATCCATAAACAACTGCAGTTGTTTTCTGTGATACCCTCATCAGCCACTTGAAGGACACACTATCACAGCTGAACTCTTTGCTAGCTGTCAGCTCATCAGTTTACCCAAAAAACGTGCAAACAAGATTCACTGTTCACAGACTGTCTGCAGTTTTGTCTTCTCCCCCTCTCCTTTTTCTCTTTATAGACTCTGTTTTTGCCTTTGTTGGATGAAATCAATCTATTGATTGATCTCTCTTATGTACAAGTCAACAGCATGCTAATAATACATGAATTAATTAATTAATAAATGTCTTTGAGTTATGTTTGACAGAGTAATAACTACCATTTATTAAGCCCTACACTACATGTGTGGGGGCAATGGTGGTTAAGTGGTAGAATTCTCGCCTTCCATGTGGGAGACCCAGGTTCAATGCCTAGCCAATGCACATCATGCTCAGCTATCACCCGTCCATCAGTGGAGGCTTGCATGTCTATAATGCGGAACAGTGTCAGCAGAGCTTACAGACTAAAACAGACTAGGAGGAAAGGCCTGGTGATCTACTTCCAAAAATTAGCCATGAAAACCCTATGGATCACAATGGTTCAATCCACAACCAATCGTGGGGATGGCACAGGACCAAGCAGCATTTTATTCTGTTGTATATGGGGCCATCATGAGTCAAGGGCTAACTCAGTGGCAGTTAAGAACTATATGTATGCACATATACATATGTATATACATGCACTTATCTCTCTGTGTGTATGTAAGTGCATATAAATACACACACACAGGTAGTCCCCAACTTACAACATATTTGAGTTCTGACAAGCCACACTTACTACCATCCCTTTTTTACTACATACAGTGTTGTAGCACGTAATTTGCTGATGTTATCATTCTCGAGATGTTCACTCACAGATGTTTATATGTAATGTTTCCAACCTCCAAAGGCAAAGATTGGATTTATAAAGATACTGATAATAAAAGGCAATAATAATGAAAACTTAAAAAAAAAAAAAAGAGGTATTCAACTTATAATGGAGATGTCAGAACAGAACCCTGTCATAAGTTGGAGACTACCTGTATATATAAAATGCAGCCCCAGCAAGGTAAGCGTGAATAGCCCCTCTTTACGGACAAGGAAACTGAGGCTTAGTGTGGTGCAGTAGGTTGCTATTGTATGGCTCTTCTAGCCATGGTCTTGTAGCTCCCAAGAGATGACGTGGTAGGATTATGCAGATGTGGTGCTTGTGGCCCACCAAGGGGATTGGACAGTTTTGCTACTGCAAATAAGGTGCATGGAACCCTGTGGGAGTGGGACCATGCAAATAAGTGCATAGAATCCTTGCAGGGGGTTGGTCAGTTTTGCCATCCCACTAGGCTTAAAGGGAGCCAATCCAGAGGTTGGGGTAGGGGGTGGGGAATCTCACTACCATCAAGAAGAAGAGCCAGGAATGGAGTGCATCTTTTCAACCCAGAGTCCCTGTGCTGAGAACCTACTAGACCCAGGAGACATAAAAAGCTGTAACACTGGAGACGGTGTGAGACAGCGAGAAGTGGCAGCAAGCATGGCAGAGTCCAACAGCAGAGAAACAACAGCAGCAGAACCAGGACACTGGCATGAGATGGTGCAGTGGGCTTCCCAATCCACAGAGTGAGGCAGCTACAGTGGGCATGCCAACCTACAGAGTGAAAAAGCTGAGTGCCTTCAGGCAGGAGGCTTCCTGGCAGAGTTGGGTGCCTCTGGGCAATTATTAGTAGAGCTAAAGAGCTTTATAACACTTGTCTGAGCAGGGCAGAGATCAGGCCAAGAGCCAAAAGCTAAGGGCAGAGGGCCAAGGGCCTAGGGCTGAGAGAGAGGCCTGTGGGCATGGCCGAGAAGAAGCTGTCTGATTGGAGAACTGTATCCCGAGTCATTTCTGTTATTTCCAAGTTGATCCTGATTCTGAATTGTAACCTGTTACTTCCCAAATCACCCACACAATCATGAGTATGGTCTGTGAGTTCTGTGTGGCCATTGCAATGAATTATCAAACCCAGCAGAGAAGTAGAGAGTGCCGCAGGAGGGACGGCTGGTGTCAGAATTGGTTAAAAAGTTGAAGAGTAGAGGTATGTCTCACCTCCATCTCACAGGAATCAGCTTTGGGCTGATGCTTATCTTGATGATTCTCCTCCTCCCCCCTCCTGAATTTAGACGAGGTCTGACACCGTGCCATTTTCACATTCAGAGCAATTTCAAGTACTTGCTCAGTCACCCAGCCGGAAAGAGATGGAGCTGAGCCGGAGCCCAGGCTGTCTAGGGGGCCCCAGTCCCACGTTCTCATCACTACTCTATGCCAGCCTCTCCCTCACATTCTCTCTAGCTCGACTCTCTCTGACTGAAACGAGAAGCTGCTGCCCCACCTTGGGTGGCCACTGCCAGCCACCCTCTGGGAGGAGGACAGGTTAGGGCCTCACCTGGCAGAACTTTGCGGAAGAGCCTTTTCCACACAGTCAGCTTGATGTCGGCCTGGTGGAGGCCTGGCTTGAAGGAGATGGGGCTGAACGTGCCTTCCAAGGGCCGGGCTTGCTGGAGCTCTGCTCTGGATGCAACATTAACAGTGACAGGAGAGCAAGGCACCGGACAGCCCACCACACCCATGTGGACATCTAAACCCAGAGGTTGGAACACTGCACTCAAGGTGCCTGTCATTTCCTCTCCCCACACCTGCTTCCTAAAGAACTACCCCTTCCTAGGAGGGGTTCTCGAAGTACAGGGCCGAGACCAGCAGCATCAGCCTCCCCTGGGAATTTGTTAGAAATACAAATTCTTGGGTCCCCACCCAGACCTGCTGAATCAGAAACTGCTTACTGGGGTCCAGTAATCTGTGTTTAATAGGCTTTCTTGGTGGTCCTGGTGCAAGATTGAGAACTACTGCCCCGTATCAGTGACCCTGGCCCCAGCCACAGCCAGCTGGCCCAGGAGAGGACACCTGCTACACACTGAGTCAATCAGATCCCCCATCCATTTGTTTACACCAGTATCTCTTAACCAAATTGTCTCCAAGACTAAAAAGAATTTCAGGAAACAAGAAGACTCCCATAAACAGGGTCTGAGGAGGCTCAGGAACTACACAAATTGTGGATTTGTTGGGACTAGAACACCGGTCCCACACCCTTAGCGCATGTTTCCAGGTCCCTCATTCAGGCCACTACCCACCTCTCCCACCTCATCCTCCCCTTCCCTTCTGCATCAGACTCACCCCAGCAATGGTGAGCTCCTTCAATACTCCAAAGACCGCACTACTCCACCTGCTCACGTGCCTCAACTCCCACTCTGCTGACCTGCAAACGCCTGTTGACCTGCACACCTTCTTTGCCGATTCCCCAGTCACCTCCTCCTCTGTATTGTTTCTGTAGCTTGCATGAATTTCCATTGTATGTAATCATAGTTCACTGTCTGCCTGAGGCTCAGAGATATTATATAGCTTGCCCTAGCCACCCAGCCAGTAAGAGATGGAGCTGAGCTTGAACCCAAGCTGTTTGGGGTCCCTGAAGGCAGAAACACAACTTTCATCCCAGTGCAGAGCTGGATTTGGCAGCTTCTCCAGAAGCACTGGTTAAGCCAAATGAGGAACTAAGTGGAGAGGAGGTGACCATCTCCCTTGGAGCCACTGGACGCTCCCTTGGAGAGTCTTACCTGGAGGCCATGGAGTGGTACTTCTGAAAGACAGAAGAGAGGCAGGGAAGGCAGAGGAGTGGTTAGGAAGGAGGAGACTCTGGGGGCCCTGAGAGCCTTGGCATGGGGACATACCCTTGTCCACTCACCCGAATGAACTCGTGATGACTCTCATTACTGAACTGCTCCAGCACACGCTCAGCCTGGACCAGCTGTTCCCGAGTCCTCTGGGCCTGCTCCAGTTGCATGTCCAGGGAGGCCACAAGGCCACGAGTGTGGCCTTCCACCCCCTCCAGGCAGTGGGCCTTCTCCTCGTCCACCAGGTGGTGCAGCTCCTGGAACTCTCGGTGGATCACCCAGCTGAACACATCGGACTCATTCTGGAACATGGAGGGGCCAGTCACAGCTGAAACCACAGCAGAGCTGTGTGGCTATGGCTGGGCTTCCTGGGCATTCCTGAATCGGCTGGTTCTGGCACCTGAGTCCCAGACAGGCCCTATGGGGTGACTCCTGCTCAGGTGTTCAAACTGTGCCTGTGACCCCTATAAGTTTCAGGGAGATGTGGCAGTGAGGGTGACAGGTGGCAGGGGAGATTCTGGACCCCCATTCCCATTTCAAACAGAGTCGCTCTGCTTTCACCTGTTTTAACTATTAAATGTGCATGTAAAATTGTGTGTTATTTTATCACGGGGCTCTACAACTGAAAAAAAACTGAACACCCTGGGAGAGCCCAGACGTTGGAGTGAGCTAGCCCAGGACTCCCTGTGTGACCCGAGTTTTGCTCTCCTCAGACAGGGGTAACACCACCCCCTCTCAAGCATGATGAGGGAGGGCTAAATGACACACTGTGCGAGGCTTAGTGTATATAGGCCGCTCCTGCTCCTTGTCCCTGTTCCACAGCCACCTTCAGGGCCCAGCCTCCATGCCCTCCCAGCCCCCATGCCCCTCACTGAGGACAGGCAGACAGCAGCTGAGGTTGTCGGGCCTGTCCAGGCCTGTGCCCTGAACGTACTGGAAGGGCACCACAAGAAGCCCACTTACAGGCTGTGAAGGTCAAGCAGACACAGGTGGCACAGGGGGCAGGGCCATGCCCACAGCTTTGGGTTGTTTACCTCTGGGACTCAAATTCTGGGTTATCTCAGTCCCAAGGGCATGGAGGACAGAAGCCAACTTGGAGCCGGTCCTGACAACTGAATTGAATTCTCTCAGTTGGGACTTTCACTTTCCCCACACACCCTGACATGCCTTGAATTCTGGCTTCTTATGAGAGGCATGGTTTTTGTAAAGGACAAATAAGAACAGGACCCTGCAGGACAGCAAAGGTGCCTGGTCTCAGTGTAGGGGCACAGAGAGGGCTCACTCACAACAATTCGGGTCCTGTTGTTCACCAGTTTGGCAATATGCTCATCCACCTTCTTCTGCTCCTGCTTTAGGTCGGAGATGAGGGTCGAAAGCTCCTCCTGGAGGCAACATGCCATGGCCCATGAGCGGCTGAGCTCTGGACCCACTTAGCTCTTTGGGACTTCGCCCTTCTTGGAAGAATTCCAATGGCCACAAGCACATCCCAGTGGAACCAGGGCAGGGATCCAACTTTCCCAGGTGCCCATCACTTCAAAATAGTTAAGACTGACTGTAGAAATTGCCCAGCCAAGGGAGAATCTCAACGTTATCCTTCTCCCTGATGTAGACAGAGATGCTAAACATTGTTATAACTACCTGGAAGTCATCACACAACATCCAAGAGTGGTGATTCCAATCTGAAGCCAACACTTCCTACATGGAATGCTGCCAGTAGGATACCCACCAGCTAAACTCTCCAGTCATTTCATGCCACGAGCAGGTCCAGGCTCAATGGGCATTTGATCAAGAATCATTTCAAAAAGGCTGGACCCAATGAGGCTAATTCTAGGGCATATGGTGCATATCATGGAACAGGGTAAATATTGTGGTGCAGGGTAAACCTGGTGACTCCCTACTCCCTATTAAAGACCTGAATCCATCCGTAGCAGGCTTGGACCCCCACCTGGGTCTGGGGACCTCTCCGGGCTTAAGTAAACTCATTTCTCCTGGGCTGCCCTGGCCCCAAATTTGACCTAGCCTTAGGGTGCCAAAGAGGACCACCTGCAGACCTGCCCATTTAGCTCCCCCACATGACCAGAGTCCCTTCTGTTTGTGCCCAGGGAGTGTACAGACACTTTAGTTGAGATAGTTCCCAAGCAGAGGTCAGCTTTCAGGAAGGAAGTTGAGTAAAAAGTAAAGCAAGCTTAGGGGTAAATGGACACAGAGTCCTTGCCTTGAGTCATGAGGCACTCAGAACATCTCACAGTGGCCTGAGAAGGACAGTCCAGTTGCAACCTTCCCAAGGCAGAGAGGTATATCAACTTTGCCACAATGAGAGGAAACAGAATTACGAAAAAAAAAAGTACCTCAGGATCCCAATAAATGGGAGAAAACAGCAATGCATGAAAGGTACCTGATAAAGGAGCATAATACAGTTGCATCACAGAGAAGAGACTTGGGATCACAAAAACCCAAACCCCAAATAGTGACCCACACCAGAGCCCAGCTCCTTGTAGAGATGATGAGCAAGATCCTTGTCTCCTGGCAGCCCTTCCTGCTACTAAAATTCAGAGTTGGTTCCATCCCACTGCAGTCTGACTTCCTCCTTCCATACTCCCCTAAAACTGCTCTTGCCAAGATAATCAATTCTGACTGTAAATCCAATAGCCATTTTTCAGTCCTCATCAGACATCTCACACACATGATCTTGTCCTCCAGATGTTCTGTCCCTCTGATTTCCAGGAGACCACACTCAGCCAGCTTCCCTGCTCTCTCTGCAGTTTCTTTCTCTACCCAAATTTTAAACCCTGGGGCTCCTCAGGTGTCCTCAGCAGTGTCTTCCCTTATTCTACAGACTCTCCTTGGTCTTCAATTTCCACCCATAGGTAGATTACTTCAAATCCCTTATCTCTAGTCTTGATCCCTTTCCTGGTCTCCAGACTCTGCCACCTACCTGTTTGTTGGACATCTTCTCATGATTGTCCCATGAGCACCTCACACTCTGCCTGCCCACTCCTGACACCGCTGCCCCCTCTCCCCCATACACCCATTGTCTGTACAAGGGGACTTGCCCAAATTTCAGGTCTGGGGGTCAAGCCTGACTCTTCGCTCTCCTGTACTCCCATATTCAGTCATCAAGGTTTTTCCTTTCTACCTTCTAATTATCTCCTGGAGTCCCTGGGTGGTGCAAACAGTTAATGTGCTCAGCTGCTAACTGAAAGGTTGGAGTTTCAAGTCCACCCAGAGGCACCTCAGAAGAAAAGCTTGGTGATCTACTTCTGAAAAATCAGCCATTGAAAACCCTGTGGAACACAGGTCTACTCTGACACACATGAGGTCACCATGAGTCAGAATCAACTCAACGGCAACTTTTTTTTTTATTATTATCTCCCATTCCCACTCCCTCAGTTCCTGATGCCCTCATATCTTGCTCCATCCTCCAGCCTCACTCTCCAGTCTACCCTCTGGCCAGAGAGATCTGACCACATCACCACTCTGCTTAAAACTCTCCAGTGCCCCCTTCCTCATGGCCCTCCAAATAAACCCCAAATCTCTTCAGGTGTGACACGGGCCTTTCTATGACGTGGCCCCTGCTTACCTCTTCTGCCCCATCTCTCTCTCACCTCTCTCCCCAAGTTTTATGGAATGTCTTATCTTTCCTCAAGTGTGCCATGCTGTTCACTTCTTGGTCTTTTGCACTTGCTGTCTTTACACTTGGAATGTTTTTCCTCCTCTTCTTTTCCGATCAAATTCTCCTTGTCATTCAGGTCTCGGCTTAGAGTCTACTTCCTCCAGGAAGCCTTCCCTGACCGCCTGAGGCCATGCAGGATCCATGTTCTGCGTGATCTCACCATTCCCTGTATTTAACCTTGACAGCAGCACTTAACATACGGCTCTCTCTGCCAGACCTCCAGAATGAGCTTTCCCAGAGCAGGGAGTCTCTTGCCCACTACTGTACCGAGGGCACATAGCACAGCACCTAGCACATATGAGGTACCCAGTAATGTTCATGGGAAGGAGGGGCGGATGGATGACCTGGCCAGCCCTGCACACATCTCCTACTTGTCTCCCAGGGCTGAGGAGCAAAAAAATGCTGCCCAGACCACTCGGCCCAGGAAATCCCCAGAACAGCTCACAGGGCACCTCTGCCTGCCTACCTTGATGCTCTCTCCTCTCCTATATTTTTTCATTCCTCACTTTCACTCCCATGCCAAGTACACTCCTTCCTGTAACATTTTACTTCCAAGAACCCTTCCTGCCCTTTCCTGATCTGTTGGCAATGGAAAGAAAACGGGCCTTGGTTTGACTCCTAGCTCTGCCACTCACAAGTTTGCATGAGCTTGGATAAGACCCTTACCTTCTCTGAGCCTCAGTTTCCTCATTTGTAAAGACAATAATAGCCCCACCCTACCTGCCTCACACTGTTCTGAGGAGTAAATGAAGTTGTGTAGGCGGAGCTGCTTTGTAAACCTCAGATGAATGCATTCAGCTCAGATGGCACTATTATCATTGTTGTTATTATCTACTAGACCTGTTAGGTTATAAAGCAGAAATTCATTGAACAAATATATTTTCAGTGCTTACTCTAGAATTCGGCAGGGAACAAAACAAAGTCACTGCCCTCATGCGCCTACCTGAGAGGCAGCCAGGGGAGCCCTCTAGAAACAAACAAGGGCTGCAAGGAAAAATTCAGCAGGGAAGGAGCCAGCCAGTGAGCAAGGGGGCTCTCCATCACATGTGTTCTGTTATCCCCAGCACCTGGTTTTAGCAGTAGCTCAAAACGTGATGAATGAATGAATGAATGAATGCCCGCAAGAGTCTTGCTGCAGGACAGAGCTGGAGGAAAACTGAGTCTCGCCTCTTGACCCTCCTTTTGTGTCAGGTGATAGGGCCAGAGAGCCCCAGACCTGGGCTCCACAGTCCACAGACCCTGCCCCTGGACCCCGCGCCCCCTTCACAGCCTTCCCTTCCCACCTTCATGCGGCTGTGGACGGTGGAGACGGGCGTGACGCGGTGGTGCTGGTGGGAGCCCAGCAGGCCGCAGAGACCGCAGATGAGGTCCTGGTCCTCCTCACAGAAGAGGCTGAGCGGGTTTCGGTGGTGCGCGCAGACTTGAGGCTCCGGGTCCCTGGGAAGCCGCAGGGCTTCAATCACCCGGGCCAGGGAGACGTTTGGGGGGGAGCTGCTGTAGTCTACCGCCTGCCGGCACACCGGGCAGCGCAGCTCTGTGTCCAGGTGGCAGGACAGGGAGACCAAGCAGCCCTTACAGTAGGAGTGGCCGCACTGCAGCATCAGGGGCTCCTTGAAGACCTCCAGGCAGATGGGGCACTGAAGCCGGTCCTCCAGCTCGGGCACGCTCACCTGCCACGCCATCCACCTGCGCAGCTAAAACAGCGCGGAAGGAATGTCCCCTCCACTCGCCTGTCCGGCACTCTGCTGCCCGCCCCCACCCCCGCCCCCAACCCCACCAAGGGCAGCCAGAATTTTAGACAGAAGCATGCCAGTCCTGGATTCCAGCCTTAGCCCACTGTGACCTTCGGCCTGTTTCTCAATGTGTAAAACAAAGGGCTTCAGTGAGAAAATGGTCACTTACAGAGATGAGACTCTACATTTTTTTACTCGGATTTGGTGGCAAATATGAAAGGAGCCAGCTTCAGGGCCATTTGGAGAGACACTAATAATGCAAGTTCCAGCCCTTAGCAGTCCTGGCCTAAACCCGACAGCAAAAACAAGCAAAGGTCATTAGCGGAGGGAAATATTTGGTCTTCCCACCGTCTAGATCAGTTCTCAAACTTTGGAGCAACTGTTGAGCGGATTATTATTGTAATGATTCCTGAGTTCCACCTTCAGGATTCTGCTTTAGGGGATCTGGAGTGCAGCCTAGAAATCTGCATTTATGGTAGACACCCCCGGTCATTCTAAAGCAGGGAGTTCTATACCGGAACAACATTGTTCTTCCGGGTCTGGGACTAGCGGGGCTCTCTCCCAGTATCCCACCCCGCACCCCATGGCAAATGACTGGCAAGGAGAGACAAGAAACACCATGCCTGAAGCTGAAGCAGAGCCAGGCAGTGCCCGGATACTGTGCTACCTGGTCTCTCAGGATCCACTGAGCCCTCCACTGGGGCCTCAGACCATCACTGACCTGATGGAGTCACTCACGCGATGGAGTCAGCCTTTTCTCTTCCCAGGATGAGAGCAGGAACAGAGACCTGGGAATTGCAGCTGGGTACCTAGTCTCTACCCTTTTTCTCCTCCCCTTCACCCTTTCCCAGCAACACCCTGTGTCCTCAAGGTCACCCACAATCAAGTGGAAACCGGGCCACATCATGGGACTGGGAAGGCAGCCTCTGCTTGGCCAGCTCTGATAATGGCAAGATTCAGGTGCTTGCTTTGGCTATGTATTGTGGGGGTGGGGCAAGGCAGAGCGGCTGGGCCCCTCACAACACACACCTTACAAACCCCAAAAAGGTGGGGTGTGTGTTTTGACAGAATTCTTTCTGAACCTTTTCTTTTTTTAAAAAATAATTTTGAAGGTATTTTTTATTCGTTTTGGAACCCTGGTGATGTAGTGTAAGAGCTTGGCTGCTAACCAAAGGGTCAGCAGTTCGAATCCACCAGGCACTCCTTGGAAACCCTATGAGGCAGTTCTATTCTGTCCTATAGGGTCGCTACGAGTCAGAATTGACTCAGTGGCAATGGGTTTTTGGTTTTATGTTATTTATTTTGATTTTTTTAATCGACGTATAAGTGCACAAAACCTAAGTATAGAGTTTGATGTACACTTTATGTATGTGTGTTATTGTTGTTAGTTCCCATCAGGTCTATTCTGACTCACAGTGGCCTCACGTGTGCAGAGTAGAACTGCTCCAAAGGGTTTTCAACGCTGTGAACTTTCAGAAGCAGATCACCAGGCATGTCTTACGAGGCACCTCTGGGTGGGTTTGAACCACCAACCTTTCAGCTAGTAGTCAAGCGCTTAACCATTTGCACCACCTAGGGACTCCCTTATGTATGTATGTATACTAGGGCCAGATGAAGGCACGTGAGGGCCCTAAACACTGATAATCTGTGGTGCCCCCTCCTCTGCTTACTCACACATTCTAACGGCATATGGGAGTTATACATATACATGTATATGTATGTGTGTGTGTGTCTTAGCTGTCCATGACGTAACTTCTTTTTCAATGTGACTATAATATTAGCAATTGAATGCAAAAGTGGCATATGCCATTTTAGCGGAATGAGACGAACTGGATTATAAAATTTTTAGTGGATGTGGTATACTAAGATTTTCACTATATACCACATTTTCTACAAAAAGAATATTGCACAACAAAGAAAATGAGTCACTGAACTTAGTTGTTTCAACAATCAATGTAAAATTCTGTTGATCTCCCACAAAGAAAAATTGACTTTCACTAATTTTGTTTTAAATGGCTCAGACTTCAATTTTGACGCTTGTTTTATAATAAATGCTATAATTATAAATCAACAAATGAAAAGATGTCATAAAAGAAAATTTAATGATCAGAAAACAAATATTACAACAAATTACTATATCTTATTTTTAGATAGATCTTTCATCTCTAACATGTTATAATTAAAAATATTTCTTTCTATTCTTTGTCTTACAAATTCTTCAATGACTCCATCACAGTGAAACTGCCAAACAATATCTACCTCCATACATAATAAGGATAATGAATCAAGTCTTTCTTGAATTATTGTTGTGTGCTCACTTTTCCTTGTGTCCTGTCTGCTTGGCATCTATGGATCTTCGCTTTAGACAACTGGTACCCCTGTTTGTTGATGTCTTAGGCATGTGCTTACCTTACTTATTGGTCATCCATCTCTGATGTGTACTCACCCTCAAGAAAAGATACAGAATGTTCCTGGCACCCAGAAGTCTCCCCCATGTCTTCTCACAGTCAATACCCTTAGCAAGGATAGGCGCTATCCTTGTTGCAAATTGTTGGGGATGTTTTTGAATTTCATATAGAGCCACATAATATGTACTTTCTTGTGTCTGACTTCTTTCACTCAATATTATTGAATTATAAATTCTTTTTTGATGTCATAAGGTAGTAGCATCATAACTAGCTTAACTTCAGGGGAGATAAGAATCACCATCCGTATCAGCACAAAGCTGATTCCTATGAGGTGGAACTCTGGTGACGCAGTGATTAAGAGCTCGGCTGCTAACCAGAAGGTCAGCAGTTCAAATCCACCAGCTGCTCCTTGGAAACCCTATGGGGCAGTTCTACTATGGGTCGCTATGAGTTGGAATCAATGCAATGGCAACGGGTTTTTTTTTTGTTTTTTTTTTTTCGGTATGAGGTGGAGGCAGGCTTACTTGTGCTTACTTACTAACCGTAGTGCACAGTTTCACCTGTTTTTCACCACATCTTTGGTGAAATGTCTGGTACAGATAGGTGTAAGGAAATTTTATTTCTTAATTCAATAAATATACATTGAGAATCTGCTATGTGTCAAGCACTGAGCTGGGTATTAGGAATATAGTAGCATTTTGGAGTTTATAATATAGTGAGGGGGTGGTGGTGTTAGGTCATAAATATATAAATAAACAATATAATAGTGTTAAATGCACTTCAGAAAATAAACAAGTGATGACAAAGTGGGGAATGGAGTGGCAAATTGTGTGAGGTGCCACTTTAAAAAGGGGCAGGTCAATGTCTCTGAAATGGGGATGAGTGAGCTGAGATCTGAAGGATACAAAGAAGCCAACCACCTGAAAGGCTGTAGGAGGAGCAGTCCAGTCAAGAGGTCAGCAAGTGCAAATCCCCTGAGGCTGGGAAGAGCTTGGTATTTCTGAGAGGTGACCTGGGTAACTAGAGTGTAGTGAGTAAGAGGACATCAGGAGATGAGGCCAGAGGTGTGGGCAGGGAGGGGTCTGTAGGCCAGGGCAAGGAGTTTGGATTTCATTCCAAGGGTAACAGAAGCTACGGGAGGGTTTTAAGTAGAGAAATATCATCTGATTTATATTTTTAAGTATAAATACGGCTTCTGTGCAGATAATGGGCCATAGTGGCTGGAGCACCTGGGTGGATGGGTGGTGATGCCAACTACTGATATCAGGAAGATGAGATGGAAAGGGAAATGGGGAATCCAAAATCAGATGCCTGAGGGCATTCAGGTGCAAAGATTAAGTAGCCCAGTGGCCCTAACAGACATAAGCTGGCCGCAGAATCACCTGGAGGACTTGTTAAAATGTAAGATCGCACCCATCAACAGATGAAGGGATAAACAAATTATGGTACATACACACAATGGAATACTACGTATGATAAAGAACAGTAATGAATCCACGAAACATCTCACAACATGGATGAATCTGGAGGGCATTATGCTGAGTGAAATTAGTCAGAAAAAGACAAATATTGTATGAGACCACCATTATAAGAACTAAAGAAAAGGTTTAAACACAGAAAAAAGCATTCTTTGATGGTTATGAGGGTGGTGAGGGAGAGGGGGGAATTCACAAACCAGATAGTAGACAAGGATCAACTTCAGTGAAGGGAAGGACAACACACAATACAGAGAAAGTCAGCACAACTGGACCAAAACAAAAGCTAAGAAGTTTCCTGGACACATCCAAACACCTTGAACGACACAGTAGCTGTGACTGGAGCATGCGGACCAAAGTTTCAGGGCATAGCAAAATTTATTGAGAAAATGTTCTGCACCCCACTTTGGTGAGTGGCATCTGGGGTCTTAAAAGCTTATGAGTGGCCATCTAAGATGCATCAGTTGGTCCCATCCAACTTGGAACAGAGGAGAATGAAGAAAACTAAGACACAAGGAAAATATTAGCCCAAGAGACTAGAGGACCACATAAACAAGAGACTCTACTAGCCTGAGACCAAAAGAACTAGATGGTGCCGAGCTACCACCAATGACCGCCCCTGACAGGGAATGCAACAGAAGAGTCCCTGACGGAGTGGGAAAAAAGTGTGGAGCAGAACTCAAATTCACGTAAAAAGACCAGACTTGATGGTCTAACAGAGACTGGAGTAACCCCCGAAACCATGGCCTCCAGACACTCTGCTAACCCAGAACTGAAACCATTCCTGAACCCCACTCTTCAGACAAAGATTAGACAGGACTATAAAACAAAAAATAATACACGTGAGGAATGTGTGTCTTAGTTCAATCAGATACTCGAGACCAACTGGGCAGCTCCTGTCAGGAGGCAGGATGAGAAATCGGGAGGGGGCAGGAACTGGTTGAATGGACACAGGTAACCCGAGGTGGAAAGGGGGAGCGTGCTGTCACATTGTGGGAATTGCAACTAATGTCACAAAACAGTATGTATATAAATTTTTGTATGAGAAATTAACTTCAGCTGTAAACTTTCACCTAAAGCACAAGTAAAAAGAGAGAGAGAAAGTAAGATTGCTAGGTCCTGCCTCCAGAGCTTGTTTCAGGAGGATAGGGATGGGCCTAAGAACTTGCATTTCTAATAAGTTCCCAGGTGACACTGCTGCTGCTGGCCTGGGGACTACACTTTGAAAACCACTGGAATAGGCAATTGAACACAGGAGCCTGGAGCTCCAGAGCTCAGGGGAGGCCTAGTCTGGCCTGATATATATCACCTATTTAAATATGTCACCTATTTAAACCTATGGGAATAGCTAGGATCTCCCAGAGAATGAGAATAGAGAAGGAAAGGCAGAAGTCCAAGGGCAGAGCCCCGGAGTTGCCAGTGTTTAGAGGTCAGGAAGAGGAGAATGACTGAGAAGGAACAGCCACTGAGGTAGGAGGAAAACCAGAGTATGGTGTCCAGGAAGATGTGGTAGGCAGAATGCCGCCCCTCCCCCAGGTGTCTAACTATGTCGTAATCCCTGGAGCCTGTGAATATGTTACATGACGTGACAAAAGGGACTTTGCAGATGTAATTAAGGTTATGGAACCTAATTATCCAGGTGGTAGGCCCAATCTAATTATATAAGCCCTGAAAAGCAGAGCACTTTCTCTGGCTGGAGTCAGAAAAGAGATGTGGCACAAGGGAATCTCAGATTCCAAGTGTGGGAAGGATTTGATGTGCTGCTGCTGACTCTGACGTGTAGGGACCCATGTACAAGGTCCAGAGAGAGGTCTGTAGGAGCTATGCGTGGCTCCCTGGGTGACAGCCAGCAAGGAAAGTGAGCTTGGAAGTGGATTCTTCCCCAGAACCTCCAGTAAGGAATGCAGCCCCACCTATGCTTTAATTTTAGCCCAGTGAGACCTGTGTTGGACTTCTAGCCTACATAACTGAGATAATAAATGGGTGTTGTTTTAAGCTGTTAGCTTTGTGGTAATTTGTTATGACAGTGATAGAAAATTAACATGGAAGCCAAGAGTGTTTTAAGGTCAGAGAGGTCACCTTTGGCAAATATTGACACGAGTCTGGTAAACTGAGGGGAAAAAAGGTGTCTGGTGGATCTGGCAACAAGGGCAAGTCTTCGGGGCTCAGTGCCGGGGAAGGAGCAGTGAAGTGGGATGAAGAGAAAATGGAGGGTGACGAGGTGGAGACAAAGTAGTTGAAAAACAAGACATTTGCAGCAACTATTTTGAGAAGTTTTCTGTGCAGAGTAGGAATGGGGCCACCTATAGCAGAAGGAAGATGCAGGATAACAGATAAGAGATTTGAGAGTATGTATAAACTGAAGGAAACACTCTGGAAGAAAGGGCATACCCAAAAGAGTCAAGTCCTTGAGCAAGCAAGAGGGGAAGGAGCCAGGGACCAAGCAGAGGTGGAGTCTGTGAGGACCAGTCTTCCTTTGTAGCACGAGAGAGCAGGTGCGACAGGTTTTGTGGACTTGATGGTGGGAAGCTGAGACATCACTTTTTTTCCTCAGGAACTGGGCAGTTTGACCTTAGAAGTCTTGTCTGTGCTTGTTTCTTCAGAATGCAATGGAAAAGAAGGGACTGTTGAAAAAGGCAGAAGTAACCCACTGCCTCGGCCCAACCCATCCGCAGTTGTTCTGGGCCCTGGTTCTCACCAGCGTGCCTCCATCCCATTTCCACTACCCTGTGTGGGTTGCCGCCACGTGCTCCAGCAGGTGCAATAACCACCACAGGTTCCTTCATGTGCCTTGCTCCTTCTGGCGTGCCCTTCCCTCCCCACCCCCCGCCCCAAGCTGCCCCCCAGCGTCCCTGTCACGTGTCCCACCCCCCAACACGTGCTCCACGTGCCCCCATCACGTGCCCCATCGTGGGCCCAGCCCCCAGCTCCATCATGCTTGCCCCTGCCACGCGCTCCATGGGGCGTCGCCCCTCTCCGCCTGTTCCTGGGCGCTCGAGGGCCGTTGGCGGCAGTTGGGGAGAAGCGAAGAGTGCCTCCTCGCGGCCCGCGAACGGAATGCCGCCTTCGGAAGGGGCCGCCCGGGTATAAAGGGGCAGCTGGGCCTGTGGCTTCTTCTAGGGGGCGCAGCGGGGCGAGGCTGAGGGCTCGCACCGGACAGGAAGACACAGAGTGGACGGAGAAATGGGGGGAAGCGCCCGAAACCTGGAAGTCCTGGAAGGGGGTGTCGCCCCCAGGCAGGTGAAGGCGCGGGCACGGGCGCTGGGGAGTCCGAGGTTCAGAGACGCCACTGTAGGGGGCGTCGACGCCGGGGCTGCCGGCCGGGGTCACGAGGTGTCTGGAGTAGGGGTGTGGTCTGGGGGCGCTGACGTCTCGTTTTTGTATTGTCCACAAGTCTCCCTACCAGAGGCTAAGTCAGAGGATGCTGGACATTTCCGGGGACCGCGGCGTGCTGAAGGATGTCCTCCGAGAAGGCACTGGAGGCCTGGTGACACCTGATGCTTCCGTGTTAGGTAGGCCTGGGCCTGGGTGCGAATCTCCCGTCAGCACGCAGAGCAGCAAGAGCCGGTGGGGACGTTAGAGTGTTGTGTGCTACCTGTGGTAGCAAACCATCTAACTGCGCTTTACTTTGGGGGGAGAGAAGGTTGCAGTTCTGAAAAACATACCATATAGCATAGAAAATGTTCTGTTTGAATCGAGGTTTTTAAGAGACAAGCTAGGGAATCCCTCTTCCCTTTGCACGATGCCACTGTGAACAATGAACACTCATAGCGCTCCAGGTAAGCTCTTGAACATCAAGGCAAAAGGGCAGGCATCCAGAAACATTGAGAAAAGATTATTCCTGTAACTCACGATGTGGGGCAATTTAAACTCATCTAATTCCATTTTTTTGGTGTGTGTGACAAGGAAATTTGGTATTATAAAGGTAGGGATATCCTGGGTCTGTTTTCTTCACATTGAATCTGTTTTCTCTGTCCTAGTGAAATATTCTGGGTATCTGGAGCACATGGACAGGCCCTTTGATTCTAATTGCTTTAGGAAAACTCCTCGGCTCATGAAACTGGGAGAGGGTAAGTTCAGATTAGGAGCTGGCAAAGAAGAATGCTTGGGGAAGTGATGAGAGAATGCAATAGAATGCTTTTAGGCATGCAAAACTCTGTTCATAGCTCAGACCCTTTGAGTTGGTTTTTCTGAGGCTGGGTTGTGCTGAACAGCCAAGTTCTCTCCCATGTCCCCTATTGAGACCTAGGTATTTGGGAGAAGGTTTACCTGGCAAAGTTTTCTTTGCACCCTGACTTAACCATTAGCCATTTTTCTTTGTTCATTTGTTAAGTAAACATCTATGGAATGCTTACTACACACGGTGCACTGTGAAAAGAGGGGTGGTACTCAGATGACTAGAACATCTCTGCCCTTACGGACTTCACAGGGTGGTAGAGGAGACTGACACGTATTCAGACACCTGATGAGGTGGAATTCGATGAGCACCTGTGTGGTAGGTATAGCAGTACTGTTGGAGTGCTTAATGAAGGCACAGTTAATTCTAGCTGGGTGAATCATGGAAGACTTCATGGAAGAGGGGGCATTTGAAATGAGGTTTGAATAAGATTTCAGTCAGGGTAGAAACTGGGAGTAGAGTGGGGAGGAAGACATGGCGGGAAAAAGGAATTGCATGAACAAAGACTAGAGGCCAGAATACTGCAGTGCTTGGTGAAGCTAGAGTTTGGAACGGGTGGAGGTAGTGGGAAACAAGGCTGAAAAGTGAGTTGGGACCACATTGAGAAGGCTTTGGAGTAGCACATGGAGAGATTTGAACTCGAAACCCAATGTTGTCAAGTCAGTAGCATCAGAGCAGGATACTGGGCAAGCTTCAACCAAGTTTTTTGTCCTTTCTTCCAGATATTACGCTGTGGGGCATGGAGCTGGGCCTTCTGAGCATGCGGAAAGGAGAGCTGGCCAGGTTTCTGTTCAAACCAACCTACGCCTATGGAACACTGGGCTGCCCTCCCTTGATCCCCCCGAACACCACCGTCCTGTTCGAGATTGAGCTGCTTGACTTCCTAGATTCTGCCGAGTCTGACAAGTTTTGCGCCCTGTCAGCTGTAAGTCCCAGAGCCCAGATGGCAGCACTTTATGTAGAGAGGAATGGGTTTGTGCTTTTGATAATTCTCCTAGGTAGCCTACCCCGCTGATGATCATCTGCCCCAGGTTCTGTCCTGAGGCTCCTGTGTGGTGCTGGTGGAGGGCCCCTGTTTCCTAGAGCATGTCTGTCTCATGTATGGGTAAGGTGCTGGGCCGAAGTAAGGGGGTGAGTTTGTAATGGACCAGCAGTTTTAGCTGACCTTTCAGTCATCCTTTGCCTAGTTCTTCCTGCAAGATGGTGAATGTTTTCTTTTGAATGTTAAGTTTGTTTTCTAGTAGCTCATAATGTATAGTTTATTGTCCAGTTCAGGACGCTTATTCAATCCAGAGACTATTAACTAGATGAGACACCAGGACATACGGTATAAAGGGGAACACTCCCAGGCAAACTGTCCTCATATGGTCATTGTCCTCATAACTGTGCCAATGGTGGTTTCAAACCTCTGACCTGTTGGTTAGCAGCCGAGCACTTAACCATTGCACCAGCAGGGCTCCTAAGATGTGGTAGTGACCGTGGAAAGGTGGGGTCTGTGTCTTTTTCCTTGGAATCTGAGTGGGCTTGTGACTGCTTCAACCAATAAACTACAGCAGAAGCAACACTATGTGACTTCCAAGGCTAGATCATAAAAGGCAGTGCAGCTCACTCTTGGTTCTCTTGGTATGCTTGCCTTCCACATACTCCCTGGTGAAACCTAGCTACCTGGATACTATATTGTGAGTAGTTCAGCAACATGGAGAGATGCTCCAGTAGAGTCTTTGCCCAGGTGCCAAATGTAAGGGAAGAAGCCTCCAAAGGATTCCAGCACTCATCCATTTGAGTCACCCCCAGCTGAGGCCCTAAGTATTATGAAGTTGAAAAGCCATATCCACTGTGTTTTGTCCCAATTCCCAACCACAGAATCCATGAGCATAAAAATTATTGCTGTTTTATACCACTTAGTTTTGGGTGATTTGTTATCAGCAATATACAGTTGGAACAAAAGATGTCAGCTCTATTACTCTATACCAGGGCTTCCAACTGCTTCATTCAGGTTTGAACCCCTGCTGAGAATTTGCATTTCCACTCCCAGATACACTGAATCAGAATCTACATTTTAACAAGATCCCCAGGTGATTCTTATGTATAATAAATTTTGAGAACCACTGCTGTACTAGTAATTCTTAGAACTGGTCCCTAACCAGCAGTGTTAGCATTGCTTGGGAACTTGTTAGAAATGCAGATTCTCAGCAGGGGTTCGAACTGAAATAATCATCTGGGGATCTGGTTAAAATGTAGATTCTGATTCAGTATATATGGGGTACAAGCACAAAAAAACCTGTTGCTGTCGAGTCGATTCCAATCTACAGCGACCCTACAGGACAGAGTAGAACTGCCCCATAGGGTTTCCAAGGAGCAACTGGTGGATTTGAACTGCCAACGTTTTGGTTAGCAACCGTATCACTTAACCACTGCGCCACTAGGGCTCCATATCTGGAATAGAGATGCAAATTCTGAGCAGGAGTTCGAACTGGAATGAACTGGTTCAAAGCCCAGCTCTATATATTCAGTACAATCCCAATTAAAATTGCAGCTGTATTTTTTGGTGGGAATTAACAAGTTGATTCTAGAATTATTTATGTAATCAAAAAGCTCCCTTCCTAGTGAAGAAAAAAACAAAGCCAGAAGACTTCGACTACCAGATATCAAGTCTAATTATACATCTACAGTAATTAAAAGTGTGGTATCAACACAAGGATAGACAGAGAACTATGGAATCGAAGTGTCTGGAAACACACCCACACATGTGTGCACCATCTGATTTATGACAAAGGTAACATTGCAGCACAGTGAAGGAAAGAATAGTCTTTTCAGTAAATAACCTTAAGGCAACCAGATATCCATATGGAAAAAAGCATTTGCCCCTCCCTGAGTGTTTCCCTGCTGGAGTGCACTCTCTGTCCCTCCTTCAGAGAGAGCATAGGACGCCTGCATATAGATTCCTCCAGACTCCACCTGCTTTGTCTTTTCCCTTACTTATCTGGCTGTGTATCCTCACCATGGCGCTATAATAAATCTTAGCTGTGAATACAACCATTTAAGAAAAAAAAAAAAGGCTGTATGGATGGTTCTGGTACGTAGCCAGGCTAGAACATCATGGCTATAAAAGCCAGCAGGGACCTGGGCCAACCATTAAATGCTTGTTAGATAAAATGATTGAGCCCTGATTTCTGTACGCAGCAAGTTCCATTAGTTTCTAATTCCATGGGAAACTGCTTCTTTAGGGAGCATTTCAGAGCATACTGAAGAAACTTTCTTCTGGCCCTGGTCTGTAAAAGAACAGTAATAGCACCTATCTGCTGTGGCTGCTGTTGGGACTCACAGAGGTGACCTCTGCAAGGGCACGTAGCACAGTGCTTAGTGCATGGAAAGCAATTAATATGAGTTCAAAATCTAAAAGAGAAACATTAATAATTGAAATAACACTTCCACTGTGGCATTGTGGCTTTTGGTTCCTTGCTGAGTATCCTTGTCTTTGGTCCTCAGGAGCAACAAGACCAATTTCCACTTCAGAAGGTCCTAAAAGTGGCAGCTACCGAACGAGAGTTCGGCAACTACCTTTTCCGCCAAAATCGTTTCTATGATGCCAAAGTGAGATATAAACGGGTGAGAATGCTTTGGAAATTAAGTATAGACACCAAAAAGTCCTTAAAAAACATAGATCTTATCCCTTTCTCTATTTTTCATGGGCAACCATTAAGAAAAGTCTGATTAAAAAAAAATTCTCATTCCAGAGGGATAATGACGGGGGGTGGGGGCGGGAGGAGGGACTCCAGGAGGTTTCTGGGGGCCTAGTAATGTCCTCTGTTTTCATCTGGATGCTGGTTACATGGGTGTGTTCAGGTTGTGAAAATGCATTAAGCTTATATATCTGTATCTATATAGATTTTAATAAAGATTTTTGAAATAAAAATTTTGAAAATTCCCATCCCAGTATGAGGTCCTCTACCAACTGGTTTCTCTACCCCATTTGCCATCTCATTTCATGTCTCTTTGACAGTGGGAATTTGTCTAACACTTTGAGGGCTGACTGCATTCTCACCAACCTTCTGATCACAATTTGGCTGCTTACATAGGTTGTGCTGGCAGGAATTTTCTGTTTCCCTTGGTAATTCATTCAGCAGATACTTTATGAGCACTTTCTGTGTGCTGGGCTCTGTGCTCTAAGTTCTGGAGGCTCATGCCTTTCTGCCTATGGCACCATCTTCTCTGACATTTGTCCAGTTCTTCCACTCTTCTCGGACCTTCCAGATGGATGCAGGGAATTCTTCTCTGTGAGTCACATTGTCACGGTTCAGGCTTTGCCTCATCACTTTCTTTTTGCTATTTTTTTAAATGAAATATAATTCACATACCATAAGATTCACCATTTTAAAGTGAGTTCTTCAGTGGTTTTTAGCATATTCACAGACTTACGCACCATCACTATTATCTAATTCCGGAACATTTTCATCACCTTGAAAAGAAACCCCGTCCCTGTTAGCAATCATTCACCATTTCCCCCACCCCCCAGCCCCTGGGAACCACTAATCTACTTTCTGTATCTATAGATTTGCTTGTTCTGGACATTTCATGTAAATAGAGTTATTCAATATGTGGCTTTTTGTGTCTGGTTTCTTTTACTTAGCATAATGTTTTCAAGGTTCATCCATGTTGTAGCCTGGATCAGTACTTCAACTTTCCAGTTGTCCCAGTGCCTTTTGTTGAAAAGACTGTTCTTTCCCATGGAATGGTATCAGCACACTTGTCAAAAATCAATTGACCGTAGGTGTATGGGTTTATTTTTAGGTCATTTTTTTGGATTCTCTAGGGTTTTCTAAATATAAGATTGTGTCACTTCTCTTGACCAGCTGCCTTCCCTGTCCGCAGGCCTTGTTACTCCTCCGCCGGCGATCAGCACCCCTTGAAGAGCAGCACCTGGTGGAGGCCGCCAAGCTTCTTGTTCTCCTTAACCTGTCCTTTACATACCTGAAGCTGGAGCGACCCACCATGGCCCTGCGCTATGGAGAGCAGTCTCTGATCATTGACCAAAAGAATGCCAAGGCCCTGTTCAGGTGTGGACAGGTGAGTTGGAGGACAGGGACTTTTGGACAAACACCCAAGAAGCGGTAGCAGCAGTGCTCAATTTGGGCACTGCAAAAATGCTGTATTTCCTACATGTGCGTTTAAAATTTTGTCCTTCATTGCAGGCTTGTCTCCTCATGACTGAGTATCAGAAGGCCCGGGATTTTCTAGTCCGCGCTCAGAAGGAACAGCCCTTCAATCATGACATCAATAATGAGCTGAAGAAACTGGCTAGGTGAGGTCTATGTTTGCAAAAATTCAAACAAGAGGCTGCAGGTCTGGTCTATCCACCTGGGTGAACGTGTTGTGAAGCAGCGCAACCTGTTGTTGTTAGGTGCTGTCTAGTTAGTTGTGACTTATAGCGACCCTGTGTACGACAGAATGAAACGTTGCCCAGTCGTACACCATCCTCACAATCGTTGTTATGCTTGAGCCCATTGTTGGCAGCCACTGTGTCAGTCCATCTCATCGAGGGTCTTCCTCTTTTTCGCTGACCCTTTACCAAACATGATGTCCTTCTCCAGGGACTGGTTGGTCTCTCCTGATGTCCAAAGTGTGTGAGACAAAGTCTCACCATCCTCACTTCTAAGGAGCATTCTGGCTGTGCTTCTTGCAAGAGAGAGTGGTTTGTTCTTCTGGCAGTCCATGGTATTTCCAATATTCTTCAACACCATAATTCAAAGGTGTCAGTTCTTCCATCTTCCTTACTCATTGTCCAGCTTTTGCATGCATATGAGGCAGTTGAAAATACCATGGCTTGGGTCAGGGGCACTTGGTCCTCAAAGTGACATCTTTGCTTTTTAACATTTTAAAGAGGTCTTTTTGCGGCAGATTTGCCCAGTGCAATACGTTGTTTGATTTCTTGACTGCTGCTTCCATGGGCAGCTGGTTTGAGGAAGTGTTCAGTACTCAAAACCAGAGTTCCCAGTGGGGAGGCAGACAAATCTCCAAACTACAGCTGTCTGAATCAGTTCCCATCTGCTGCCCCCAGCCCACAAATAAGTGCCCCTGGAGAGATGGGCTGTGTGATTTTTTAAAAGTATCTTGTTACTCACATACTCTTCCCTACTTGCCACTGACTGAGATATTATCAACTGACTGGAGAAAGGTGTCTTATAAAAGCTGGTTTAATCGGAAATGAGTCTTTCAGGTCTGATATATACTAATAGAGTGATTTTCTTGTTACATGAGTGATACCTACACCATTCTTATAGTAATATAATTTTTATGATTATAGAAGTTTTATGTTCATTGTAGAAAATTTTGAATTATCAACATAGAAATAGGAGTCAACCATAATTTCAACACCTAGTGATATATCCACTTCTTTTTCAGTGTATTTTTGTTCTTCTGTATTGGTGGGATTGTCTTCTTTACGTTAAATATTCAATCCAGATTGCCAGTTAAAGCTTTCTTGACATTGAAAGAGTCTGAGGGGTATGCATCTCTTAGATTTGGATCCAGTTGTTAAATTCAGGCATTTTAGGACTTTGCAGGAATTTCCTTTCACGTATGTAAAAGTATCTTCCCAGATTATATATAGAAATGTTAGAACCTGGCCGTTCTCTTTTATTTAATTGTGGTAAATTGTGTAACAAAAAATAGGTCATTTTAACTATTTTTAAGTGTACAAATAGTGGCATTAATTACATTCACCATTGTTGTGCAACTATCACCATTATCCATTCCCCAAAGTTTTTCATCTCCTCAAACAGAAACTCAGTACCCCTTCAACTATAACTCCCATTCTTCCCTCCACCCAGGCCCTGGTAACCACTAATAAACTTTTATCTCTATACATTTGCTTATTCTACGTACTTCATGTAAGCAGGATCATGCAATATGCATCCTTTTACGTCTGATTTTACTCTTCATAATGTTTTTAAGCTTCATCCATGTCATAACATGTATAAGAACTTTGTTTCTTCTTATGGCTGAATAATATTCCATTGTATGTATGTACCACATTTTGTTTACCCATTCATTTGTCGATGGCCACCTGGGTTGTTTCTACCTTTTGGCTATTGGGAATAATACTGCAGTGAACATTGGTGTACAAGTATCTGTTTAAGTCTCTGCTTTCAATTCCCTTGGGTATATACCTAGAAGTGGAATTGCTGGGCCATATGATAATTCTGTGTTTAACTTTTTCAGGAATCACCAAACTGTTTTCCACAGTGGCTACATCATTTTACATTCCCACTGGGAATGCATGAGGGTTCCAGTTTCTCCACATCATCACCAACACTTGTTATTTTCAATTTCTCTGATAATAGCCATCCTAGAGGGTGTGATGTGGTATTTCATTGCAGGTTGTGTGTATGTGTGTGGTAAATAAATACGTAACAAAACATTTGCCATTACAACAATCTTCACATGTACTTTTCAGTAACATTAAATATGTTCATCGTGTTGTTTAGCCATCACCATTAACTGTTACCAGATTTTTCCATCACCCTTGACAGAAGCTCAGTGTCCCCAGGCATTGTGTCTTTCTCTCCTCTCCCCCCTCCCCCTGCCTCTGGTAATCACTAGTAAACTTTGATCTCTATACACTTTCCTGTTTCATGTAAATGGGATCATACAATATTTGTCCTTTTGTATCTGATTTATTTCACTTAGCTTAACGTTTTCAAGGTTCATCCATGTTGTAGCATGTGTCAGGACTTCATTTCTCTTTATAGATAAGTAGTATTCCATTATATGGACCACATTTTGTTTTATGTTTATGGACATTTAGGCTGTTTCCACCCTTTGGCTATTGTGAATAGTGCTGCAATGAATGTGAGTATACAAGAATCTGTTTGTGTTCCTGCTTTTAAATCTTTTGAGTATATACTTAGGAGTGGAATTGCTGGATCATAAGGTAATTATATGTTTAACTTTTTGAGGAACCGCCAGGCTATTTTCCACAGTGGCTGCACCATTTTACAAGTCCACCAGCAATGGATGAATTTCCAGTTTCTCGACATCCTCACCAACACCTGTTGTTTTTCATTTTTTTTAATCATAGCCACTGTAGTGGGTGTGAAGTGTTATCTCATTATGGTTGTTATTTGCATTTTCCTGATAATTAATGTCTTTGAACATCTTTTCATGTGCTTACTGGTTATTTGTATCTCTTCTTTGGAGAAATGTCTATTCAAGTCCTTTGTCCATTTCTTAATTGGGTTGTTTGTCTTTTTGTTGTTGTAGGAGTAGGATCTGACCATTCTTTAGCAAGAGAATTTCAAGATAAGTTAGAGATCACTGAATGTGAGGGGTCACTTGGTAGACTCAGCCTGGCAGCTTCACTTACAGTGGCTCTCAGCCTTCAAGGTGGCCGCCTCGGCAGATTGTGGACTTTTTGTCCAAGAGTTTCCTGAACAGCTTGGAGGCCTCTCCTGTCTACCCTATTTATCCAGTATTGCATTAATCCTTATTCACCTTAAGGCCTATTTAATTTTCAGTATTTCGGGACCTGAGTGGAGAATTCCAGCCACCAGGTGTCACCTCCTGCAAGTACAGACTTTCTGTAACATGTATTTCTCTCTACAGCTATTACCGGGACTATATGGATAAAGAGAAAGAAATGTGCCATCGAATGTTTGCTCCTGGTGATAATGACTCGACAGTAGGAGACACTGGAAGGTAACCCAAGGGCTGGGGGTAACATAAAAGGCTCCAGAATTTTGTCCAGTATGGAGAAGTAGGGTTGTTCTCCTTGACCCCTCAGTAAATAGTGGCTGTCTACAACTGAGGATAGATAGGAGGACTAGAAAAATTCCTTGTTGCAGCTCATGACATAAAAACAGTGCAGAATACTCATATGGTGGGCCTTTTTATAGAAAAGGTCATTATTGGAAGGTCAGTACCCAGAGCTGGAGGTTTCATTTATAGGTTTGGGAGGCCTTGAGCTTTAAAATTAAAAAAAGTAATTAAATTTAATTAGAAAGTTTACATGTTTCATGCTAAGCTCCCCGTCAGAGTTACTTGGAATGTGAAACTGAATAGTCATTAATGTGGTGATTTAGACTTTGAAATGAAGAGTAATGTTTTTCTTAATCTGGTTTTCCTGAGAGTCTTAAAGCTTCTGACTTCACTTTACACCTAATACATTCCTAAAGAAGACAAACTCAGATGTCAGGGGATTGGGATGGACTGTGACTCTTAAATCCTGCTTACTACTAGAATTAGAGATTTGAAGATATCAGGCCCAACAGAGAGCAGCCTCGAACCTTCCCATCTCAGCACACACCCTTGTGATTTTGCAGGCACGAGGTTAAGGTTTCCCTGAGTGTGTGAGATAACCCTCTAGTCTGGTCTATTATTACTTAAAAAAATTAATGGAAACAAAATCACCTGTCTTAAACACCTGCTTAGCTGGATCGATAACTCTGCTCTCTCTTGAAAGAAGTTAAACAAGGGCAACAAGAAAACAGGTGCAGAATGGGCTCATGGTGATAAATCTCTCCTTTGTTGCTCCCTACCTCTCTCCACAAAAGACGCTTGAGAGAAGAAGGGAATGATGAAAAGGTCTATTCATCCCAGACTTTTCTACAAATGGTCTACCTGCCCTGTCAACATCAGAAGTAAATGTTGCCTTCATCACTGACCCTGACCTTGTGACTCTTGCCTTCAGTTCTTTTGGGGGACATTGGAGTATTTACAGGTCTTCTGAACTTAGACGTGAGCCAAGGACTTCTATTGTTTGGCTACTGTTAATGTCCAGTCAGAATGGAAGACTGGTGGCTAGTTTGTCAGATATCTTGGACTGTGATCTGGAATGTCCTGTCATCAGTAAAGGGTCCGTCCTAGAACTAGGTCTTCGGAAACCCAGCTGGGCATAGGTTTCTTTTCAGTCTTCTTTACTTTCTTGCCTTCTTAGTCTGTAAGAGTTTTTGGAGCCTTACGATTTTTAGATGGTTTCCCACTTATGCCTCACTCTTGAGCGTTGTCTTATCACCAGAAATGGCTGTATTTGGGTCTACTATTTGCTCTTTAAAATGACAAAATTGTCATAGTCCCACTACTAATGAATTGTAACATATTTCAGCTTTTGTGTCTCTGATGTTTCCCTGCTCCCAGTTTTTTCTGTGGCTCTTGTCCCTAGTTGGTCACTTAGAATATCCAGGTTTTTAGATACTTTTGACAAACTAGTTTTGAATAACTAGGATCACTTTAAATTTTGTTCTTGTTTTCTAAGATGTCAGATACTGCTGACTTGTCAGATACCCTCTAGTGGAATGAGTGTTCTCGCAGTTGTACTCTTTAAGCCTCTGGTTACAGTGGACTGAATTTTCTGAGGTCTGAGACCATGTCTGGCACATGATCGGTGCTCAGTAAATGTTGACTGGATCAAGTGTAAAATAGCCGAAATGCTAGACCAACTCCTTTGAAAACAGATCCTCAAGGCTGGCTCTCGTATTGGCTGTCAGGACTCTTGTCATTTCCAGTGACAGAAACCTATCTTTAACTAGTGTCAGCTAAACAAGGGAGACTTACTGAAGGGTTCTGGGCCAGCTCACAGAATCAAAGGAGGAGTTGAACAACAGATACTCAGGAAGGTAGAGAGGCCAGGCAGTTCTGCTTCATTCTCACCTATCATAAAGCGTGCCCAGGCTTCCGTTTCCACAGCCTTTCTGTTTGAGAGAGAGCTCTTTCTTAACCCACGCCTCCCTCCTTTTCCTGTACCAACCAAAGCTTCAGTTTGAAAAATCCTGAGGCAGGACTCTGGCCTGGTTTGGGGCATGTGGAGTCCCATGGGTAGCACGCATTCCTAGTGCCAAGTAGTGGAATTGAGGGAGCAACGATTGCCTGAAAGAAGAGGCTGCTCTTTCCAAAAAACAAGGAGGATGGAAATGACAACTGGGTAAACAGAAGGATGGCTGTCTTGGTGCTAAGCTGTGGCAATACGTACTGTTCTTTGGAATATGACCTTTAGTGGGTCATTTGCCTGTTTTATGAGTTAGAAATCCTTTGCAGCTCCTGGTGCTGACAGAGCAGGAGTGGAGGGAGCAAGCACATACTTCTGCCACGTCGTGTTTTTCCTTAACTTTCCAGAAAGTATGGCAAAAACACACACCCCTGGGTGTGAGGATTCTTAGGAATAATCTGAAGAGTCAAGATTGGGGGTTGATGTATTGACCCAGGTATATTAAAAGATGTATAGGCTTAGAGCAAACCTCAGGCTAATATTTGATAAGCTATTTTGAAATTGCTTCCCCTTGGTTTACAGTGCAGTGGAGGCAGCATTCCTGTATTTGTATGTGCTACGTTAAAACTTTCTTAAGTGGATGTTTTCTAACTACCTACATGATTAAGACTTTACATAACTCCATGCAAAAACCAAACCCATTGCTGTTGAGTGGATTCTGACCCATAGAGACCCTAGATGACAGAGTAGAATGGCTCCAGGGTTTCCAAGGAGTGGCTGGTCGATTCAGACTGCCGACCTTTTGGTTAGCAGTCAAGCTTTTAACCACTGTCCCACCAGGGCTCCATTGCATCTACAGTGGTAGCAGCTTTACCAGGAGCACCAAAGAACTTTTATGACAGAGGTAGGTGGTCATAGTTACAAACACTTGATGGTGTTTTTATTTATTTATTTTTTAATTCCGTTTCTGTTCCTTTCATTGTTGCCTTCATTGAGAGTTTGAGTTATGTCCTTCCTGAGTGCTCAAAAGCATGCAAGTATCTGGGACCCTTGCCATAATTTTCTTGTATCTGAAAAATAGCTACAGTGTTTACTTTACATCTGTTTTCAACTATTTAAATGGTTGACATATAAACGGTGATGTTTATCCTGTAGTTCCCAGAAAAGAGGACCAGTAAGTTGACAAAAACAGGAAGACAGAATTGGGCTTGATCTGAAGGATTTACTAATGAAATGTCCTACCATAATTGATAAGTTGTCCCAACGTGGGTACAAACACTAAAAAAGGGCCACTTCTGCCTACTTGGGAGAGTGTCCTTGGGGAAGCACCTGCTCCAGACCAAGCTTTCCCACTGGATTCCACAGGGGTGTGGGTTATCTTGGGAGCTGGTGAATTCCCTGTCAGGGTCTGTCTGAGCAGAGCTGGAGGACCCCTTAGAGGAGAGTGACAGGCTAAATTAAATGACCTTCCTGGACCTTTCAATGCTAATGTTTTACCATTAGGCACTTGAGAACTTTTTTTAACGGCAGTGCATAGCAGCTCCCATCCTTAACACACTTCTAGTAGAGACGAAATAATGAAGTCCTGTACTAATATTAGAAAACACTTATGGAAAGGAAGTGAGAGAGACATGGTCCAAGAGCAGACACAAGTTTTGTTGCTTGCTGGTTATACCAAGTGTGAAGCATGGCTGCCAAAGAAAATCGTGTTCCAAATCAGGACGTCCCTTCCTTACTTGCTTCTTCCACAGTTACCTATCTAGGGCTGACTATTTTTGGGCACATACTAGGAGCTACGTGGCATACAAAGAGAAGTGCAGTACTGCCTCTGCCTTCTGAGTTCGTGGTCTACTTGGGAACAAGAAGACAAGGAGTTAAATAAGAGCACAGAGTAGTACTCTGTGAGAGGAAGCATCCTGGTCAGAGAAGGGCTTTCCTGAGCCAGGCCCTGAAGGATGGGCAGCCCTGGGCCCTGGCAAGGGAGAAGTGAAGAGTCCAGAGTGTGGGGGCGGGTAGAGGGACAACAAGGAGTTCAGAGCTGAGGCTGGTTGTGGAGTGGACTTTGTCCTAGCGTTTGCGGTCCTCCTTAAAGCAGGCGTATTCTGTAGGCATCAGAGGGAGGGGACAGATGAATCAGAGCTGAGGCAGCAAGGCCCATCAGGGGCAGGTGTCTGAGTAAGCGTGATGGGAGCCTGGAGACAAAGCCACAGCAGGAAGGGAAAGGCGGCACGAGAGTGAGACCTCACAGCTGGAATTGCTGGAACCTTCTGTTCATGTCTGGGTACTTTCTGTCAAAAGAATTCTGAGGACAAACTGAGCTTATCCAAAGGAGGATGGCCATAAGGCCAAAGGGTCTAAAAAATGACTGGTGGTAAACAGTGGAAGGAACTGAAGCTGTTTATTACAGAGGAGAGAACATTTAAGGGGCATGTTAGGCATCTGCTAATGGAAAACAATGGCTTCAGGGACAGAATTAGGAGTTCAGGAGAGAGAGAGACCATCAGTGTGCACTACGAGCGATCCAGGAAACTTCCTGGAGGAGCAGGCAGGACTTGAGAGAGCTCACGTGGGTGAGCTTGTAGGCTGAGGCAGAGAGAGAGAAAGAGGGCGATGGCAGGAGCAGCCAGCCCGCTGGTGAGATTCTTGACTCAGTCCCATGGTCATCTCACGTAGGCCTGATTTTAATTGTTTTGCTTTTGATTTTCCATATTTTTCTTCTAGATTGTTTTGATAGCGTTGTTCACTATTTAGTTTTTTCTTTGGTTTATTTTTATTAACTTTGGTCAAAATATTTACAGAACATATTTTATATACAAAGCACTCTTTTACATGCTTTATATGGATTAATGTTTGTATAGAACATTAATTAGAAATGGAGATATGTCCATTTTACAGGTGATGAATTGGAAATGAAGAAGTTAAGTAATTTGTCAAGGCTTCATAACTAGTAAGTAATAGAGCCAAGATTCAAACCCTGGCAGTTGCCCATAGCCAT